TTTTACGACGGAGTATTAGGGACATACTAAGAGAAAAAAATATGTTTTTTTTTGGAAATTACGAGAATAAAGTCGTAATATTAGTCTACGAGTATAAAGTCGTAACATTACGAGAATAAAGTCATAATATTACGAGAATAAAGTCATAATATTACGAGAATAAAGTCATAATATTATGAGATTTGTTTTTTCTTAGTATGGCCCTAATACTCCGTCGTATTAAAACGATATATAATCTGCAACCTGAAATTGTTTTTATTTATTTTGGACGTGCAGACTTATTGTATATCACTTCTTGACTTATTGTATCATCGAGATTCATTGTTGAAAAAATATAAAACAAATCCTCCCTTCCTACCTTTCCTTAAAAGATAATATATTTGGTTTCTATTTATACAACTATAAAGATACTAATACCTCTCCCCTTCTGAATTCTATTCTTATTGTGGCAATATCATAATAATAATGATTGACAATGACAGTAAACTAAATAATTAAATAATAACATTCTTTGTCATATTTTGCAGGAAACAGAACACTGTGCATTATGTCATTCAATAACAAAAGCTGTCAAAACTGTGTGTAATATGGGTTAGTATATATATCGCATCTTTACCTCGGATTACCCTGCTAACCACGTTTTTAAAAGTATTATTAAATGTATTTCTTTCTATGCATTGTCATGTATTTCTTCATCCTTCGTCCATGAGACAATTTCTTGTATATTGCTCATTTCTCACATTGTCACTTGGTGGCACTGTTGCCTTGTAATGAAGTTGGAAGAATCGCTATAGACTGTATAGTGTGGATCCTACACAACGATACAAGGGCTGAGATGGCGACACGTAAAGAGTGAAAGGAGACAGAAATCAAACCCTACAACCTCTGGATTTAAATCCCATCCACACATAGAAATTTAAGTCCCATAAAAACTATTTTAATAGCAGTTACAACTTATCCATGTTTTCCAGGCTACACGAATAACATAGTTAAAGGCCGGATAATAACAACAGTAATATTAAGTGGATAAAAGTAGTTTAGAATCCAGGCAACTAATTCACTGAATAAAACATAAGTTTTGTCCATTTATTTTTGCTAAAGTTCATTTCTTTTATATTACCTGCAAGAAATTGTAGTTTAACACACGTATAGTATACTGTATAGAGTATGTATTTTGCTTTTTTAGGAAGAAGTATCACAGATCACAGCATTGACAAAAGAACTGTATTTAATGTGTCAATCAGTCAAAACCTGATCAGCTTTATGAGGTCAGAACTGGATCAGCGAGTCCCTCATACTGTCACAACAACTCAATTAACAGACAGTGGATAAGAAAACTGTATTTTTATTGTTAAGAATAAGGACACATTTACAATATAGTGCATATACATTTACTAACAGCACATGTGCCCCACAGCAGGAAAAATGACATTGTTTTAATATTCTGTACCGACACACATATAGCCGAACATCTGATGAGTAAATCTGCAGATGTTTGTGCCGTTTATCACCAACAGAGGAGATGGAGAGTTCCTTAAATGACCGCAACCACTTTGAGATGTCTGTTGAATCCAGCTGAACTGTGACGGCTGTGCAAGTAAAAGGGATAAAAGGAAATTTAAGCAAGATGATATGTGAGGTTTTAGAGGGCAGAGCAGGACCCTTAAATGATGACACGCAGGTAAGAGGCCACAGAAAAACAACATTTTCTATCCTGTTAGTGAGGGCTGGCCATCATTTTCAAATCTGTTGCTTCTTTAATGAACAAACCGACATGCTGGAGAAAATAGCTACGGGCACAAGACAACACACATCCAGGAAAGGGAGGGGTTGTGGAGCAGTTACAGGTTAAACTAAAAGGGGAAAAATGTAACATGACAAAATAAATACAGCGATGCATAAATTCCAGCCAGACGTACATATATTTTCGGTTTGGGGTCGTAAAGAAAATTGAACATAATTACAGTTAAAAGCACCGAAAGAACAGCAAAGTCCTATTAAGGAGAATTTTATTAGCATCCATATTGGAAAGTGAGCATCCTGGTGGAAGTCCAGTCGCCACAAATGTTGATCATGATCCAAACAATCTGAGGATAAAAGACATTCAGCGAGTTAGGAAAGCTCAAAGGTTTACATTTATAGGACATATTCTACAAAATGAAATAAAAAACTGAAGCACAATTGAAGCACAAGAGGCAGGATGACGGAAGGAAAGTGGGCTTGTAAAACGTAAATATACATTTCTAAGTATTTTCACATTCCTACTTTAATGTGTAAATGTATGTAAATGTTCCTGCGACAGAAACATTATTTAATGAGTAATAAAATGTAGTTGTACTACGAACATGATGGCAGCATCAAGGAAAAGACTACTACTCACAGGATCATGCAGAACATCATGAAGATGTTCCACAGAGCGATGAAGATCCGAAAGTATCGCAAGCTGAGCAGAAATTCTCTGATGTTGTCCCCTGAAACACAAACTGGGTATTATTTTCTGCCAGTGCTTTAAGAACTATAGATACCTGGGACACAAATGATCTCCCTTTCTAACACACACACACACACATACTACACACACACACTACATACATACATACACACACTACATACACACACACACTACATACATACACAC